GTAATAATATTTAAGAGAGAAACGTTTAATTAAAGTATAAAGAGGTTATATTAATTTATATATATAATTAATTACGTGATAATATAATTAACCTTAACTAAACGTTTAAATTATTTATATATTAATTAATAATACACTATTATATAGCTAATAAGTAACTATTAAGACTATTTAATACTTAGTTAAAGTAGAGGGGAATAATTATAAGGTAATTAAGAAACCTTACTCACTTATAACGTAATTAATAACGTTACGTGAAATAGGGGCTTTAAGACTATATCCCTTATATCTTACATAACTAGAAAATAGGGTAAGCTTTAGTTATTATAATACAGCTACCCCTACTTTAGCTACCTAACTTCCAGTCCCTCTTACAATCTTACAAATACGAGTTAAAGCTACGAATAATTCCTAGTAAAAGCTAGGTAAAGCGTATATAAGTTACGCGCGAAAAAATATAATTAATATTATTATTATTATTATTATTCTTATTCTCTAAAACTAAGGTAATTATAAGCTATTAAAGGTAGCTTAAAAGGCGTAAGAGATTAATTATATCTTTAGCTATAATAGAGATAAGCTATATAAACGTTAGTAAAGATATAGTAAAATTATAAGAAAACCCTTTTAAGTTATAAACTAATTAAATTACACGTATTAGCACGCGGAACGTATTACTAATAACGCTTAAAGAGGCTAGTATTTAGGCTTAAGTTACTATTAAAAGTATAAGGAATTTAAAGGAGTTTAAGCTTCTTTAAAAAGCTATAATAGTAGGCGTTTATTACTATACGTAGGTAATACATGTAAAAATAACGCTTAATACTAATATTTACTATTTTAATAGTAAATAATAGGCGATTAGCTTAATAAAATAAGGTTTCTTAGGTGAAAAAAGGGGATTAAATAAGTAAGATAAGAAAGAATAAGGTAAGCGGAAAGTAGAGGGGAATAATTATAAGGTAATTAAGAAACCTTACTCACTTATAACGTAATTAATAACGTTACGTGAAATAGGGGCTTTAAGACTATATCCCTTATATCTTACATAACTAGAAAATAGGGTAAGCTTTAGTTATTATAATACAGCTACCCCTACTTTAGCTACCTAACTTCCAGTCCCTCTTACAATCTTACAAATACGGCTTCTTGTGCCGCGTTGTAGGGGGTTTTAGTGTGGCCGGATTTCGTCTGTCACCAAAGTCACTTGAGGTAACCAGGTATTGCGGGTCCCGTGACCTCGTTGGAGCCTTAACTGCTCTGAGGGGATCTTAGCAACAAGTCATTTGTGTACGAATTTATTCGCAAACTATTGGAAGCGGTTATGGGAATTTTATTTGATTCTGGTAATATCATAGTGATACAAGGTTTTGTTTACATGGAAGACCCGCTTGGTGTCAATATACAACCTAAAATGACATTTGCTGCGCCGACATCACGACCGCAAAACTTCCTCGCTCTCTGAGATTAAGAATCCCGAGACTTTATCAAGAGTCGTCATTCAGTATCTCATTCGTGATTCTTTCAATTCTTCGGTCCGGACTCTTGTCTCCCTGGAGTTGCGTCGCCTGCTTTGCCTTGGTTTCTGCATCGTGATAAATGTGTGACTGGCCTTTACTCTCTTTCGCAATGACTTGAGCCTCAGGATGGGTTTCGCGAAGTTGCAAAACGACTTTTCCGCTGGGATCTACAGTAGCAGTTTTGGGCTCGATATAAGCCTTGGCGCCACCATATGTAGTAGTGTCAAGGTGAGCGATGCCGTTGAGCATCTTGTTGGCCTGGGTTCTACCTAGGCCGAAGCGGATATTGAATTCGTTATCCCCAAGTGGAACATCTGCTACAAAGCCGCCAACACCAAGTTTGGCAGGTTTGTGCCCGGCGCGTGGGTACACCACTCTGGCGAGAGCAGGTGTGCGTCGCGCTTGGGGTCCATAGACGGGGTGATTCTCCATGAAGGAGTTGGTTCGCAGGTAGCTAATGCCAGCGGAGGGATGACTTGGTGGCGGACCTGAGTTGCCGTAAAGGCTTTTAGACTCCAGTGGCGGATGTATGCTCTGTAAGAGTCCGATAGGTACAGCCAGCGGCGCTAAATCCAGAAACTCGGAGACCAAACCGTACAATGTTGTGCGGTCATTGCGCAAAGTTCGCAAGTACTCTGAAAAGTGTGCCTCCGTAATGTCACGGGGTTCAGCCTTGGGAGGTGCGGGCGTACCCTTCTCCATGGCAAGATTATTCTGGCTCGTGGTGATGTCCTCAGCAAGTTTGCGCTTCAAAAGGGCTCGAAATTGGGCACGTTTCGGGTGGACCGTTTTCTTCAAGTATCGAACGAATTCGCCTTCACCCATCCTGGCAAGCCATGGGCCTCGAAATTTCCATCGCTTGCCATCGCTCCGTCCAGATTGAGATTCGGTAGGGTCAAGTTCTTCCTCGAAAACGGACTTGGGCCACAAGGAGGCTGACCTTGCTTCACCTGACATCTTTCCTCGCGGGACCGACATGGCAACATGCAGCTCCTGGAACTTCTCCAATGACAGTGAATGGTCCGCAGCTGACGCGAAATCGGTAACATTCTCGACAGAATCGACCTTTTTAACTCGGATCAGGGGCGTCGACGTCGTCATTGTGGATTTTAAGGGGAATGGTCTCTTGTAGCCCCAGTCACCCTTCTCGCGTGATGAGAGGGGAGTCGTGATTGACTGATGCTGAGGGTATTGTCTCGTCATAGTCGCTGATTTATGATCTCCAATGTGAAGGCTGGTAGACGGAGGCTCAGGAAGGGGTTTTGGTACTGAGAACATGCGCGATGTTCTCAATAAAGCCCCTCCGGGCGAAACAGCACGAGCCCCCATCGTGTGCGTTGCTGTTGCTGCGGAGGCTCAATTCCTCGACGTTGACGTATTTGGATGCCCAGAAGGATACGCTCGTCGGATTGTCGTGGAAAATTCGCTGCACTGCTCTAACAGCTAGGTGTGGAAATGACCCGGTGATGAGCCGGCCCAGCATAAACCATGCCAGCACTAAAAGCTCCTGGGGACCCACCTGACATCCTCCAAAGGTGTCACTCAAAAAGTGTCTGGTCTGGCTAACCTAGACCTCAGACTGAAATATCTGTGACAGCCTCAAGACCTCAGAAAGTGAGGAAAACCCGATTGTCGCGGAGGAAAATCTGTGTGTGAGAGAATGAGGGCCGTTTCAAAAATGGCTTCTAATATTTCCTCGTCCCCAGCACTGTCATTTGAGCTAGTGGCTCGCTGCTCGGTGCGTACCACTTGCTTGAATACAAATTTTTGCTGTTTTTGCAAACCGCCTTCGCGGTGCATGATACTCATGTTTAATACAGACAACTCGAGCCCGAGCATCAAATTTGACATTACCGCATGGCCCTGTTCAACTCCCCGTGTTCATGCCTGTAGCTACTCAAGCTTCTCTCAAGGGCATTACTCCTCAACAGCTAGAAGAGACTGGCTGCAGACTATGTCTTAACAATACATACCACCTGGGACTAAAGCCAGGCCAAGAGGTTCTTGACGCTATTGGTGGCGCACACAAATTTCAAGGCTGGAAACATAATCTGTTAACAGATAGTGGAGGGTGCGTACCTTGCTATTCTTTGTCTAGTTGAGAACATTGCTTACGTCGTTGCAGTTTCCAGATGGTCAGTTTGTTGAAGTTGGCAAAGATCACTGAGGAAGGCGTCCGCTTTCTGAGCCCACACGATGGATCTCCTATGCTCCTCACACCGGAACACTCAATATCCCTGCAAAACAGTATAGGAAGCGATATCATTATGCAACTTGACGACGTGTTGGTCACGACTTCACCAGATAAGGTTCGTATGCGTCAAGCAATGGAGCGCAGTGTACGGTGGTTGGACAGATGCATAGCAGCACACAAAAAGCCTGACAGCCAGAACCTATTCTGTATCATACAAGGCGGTTTGGACTTGGAGATGCGAAAAGAATGTTGCAAGGAGATGCTGGCTCGGAATACGCCTGGTATCGCGATTGGTGGACTGAGTGGCGGAGAGGCAAAGGCCGATTACTGCCGTGTGGTCGAAACATGCACGGCTCTCTTACCAGACCTGAAGCCTAGATATGTGATGGGGATCGGATACCCCGAGGATCTGGTTGTCAGTGTAGCTCTCGGAGCCGACATGTTTGACTGTGTCTGGCCGACTCGAACAGCCCGATTTGGCAACGCCATTACAAAGCACGGTGTCTTGACCATTCGAAATGCCAAGTATGCAAACGACTTTGGGCCGATAGAACCTGGTTGTGAATGTATGTGCTGCAGGCAAGGAGAGGGCGGCATGGGCATCACGAGAGCATATGTCCATCATAATACGTCCAAAGAGACTGTTTCAGCGCATTTGCTGACGATTCACAATGTTTGGTATCAGCTGAATTTGATGAGGGAGGTACGGCAGTCGATCATCGAAGATCGGTTTCCGGCATACATTCGACAGTTCTTTGCAGACCTGTACGAAAGCAAGACGGACTATCCCGACTGGGCGGTGGAAGCATTGAAGCCAGTTGGTGTAGATTTGACGGTAGAAGGTTAAATAGAACTCGGAACTTAGAAAGCATGTAGAACCGTTTCGTCTATGACAGCATAGAGACTTTGGGTTCGCAGAGATCTGATGAGTTGTGTTATGTGCTAATCATGAGCACTGTTGGTGTCAATAGGAGCAGTGTGCAATGCAGGTACATCTGCAGAGAAAGTAGGAATGGGATGATGCAGCTTGAAAACAAGGGCGATTCACATGTCAACGGTCGGATCTGCATTTAGGCTTTTTTTTGGAATATGCAGTAGCTTCAGTTATGAGGTAACAATGCAGCTTGTCTAAAGTGGCAACCGTCACGACGTTCCGAACATTGAAGTGGAGAGCACCTCCTTGGGGAGAGCAATGGGCACTATTGTTCCTCTAGATGTCCTGTAGAGAGTATGGGCCACTAAAACTAGTGACCAGCCCAACGGTAACTGGGTACCCCGTGAACTACATCATACGGCCACAAGGGCACATGGGACAGACACAATATCCCCGAATACAAGGAGCATTGTGTAATTGCTTTACTGATCCAATTTGATGCTCAGCTTTGGATGTACAATGCGATTGGATTGATTAATGGTACTCTTTTTGTTTGTTTGTTTGGTTGTTCTCCGTATGGCCCTACGTCACCTACACGTGACGCCATGTCCCTGTCGCGTGCTGCGGATGCCAGACGCGGTCCCCAGCAGGCCATGGGAGCGTTGACCAGGCGTGGTCGCAATTAGCCCAGACCATCAAGTTAATAAAAACAAACAACGACTGCCTGCCAGGACGCCAAATCGCTACCCCTCGATCTCTCATTAGAATCTCCGGCCTTGTGCAATCACCGCGGGTAGGATAGACGAATTTCGACACCGCTTGTTGCCTTTATACATTGCTACGCTGGCTCTCTCATGCGTCGTCGACTGAAGTCGGAATGTCGTCCTCGATTCATGGGTCGTTGTCTCCACGACAGGGACCAACATCACCAGCATCTAACAGAGCAAACGATGACAACTCTGGTTTAACACTGTCGCTGAGCCAGCTTTCCTTGACGAACGAACCCAAAACCCTGAAGCCTCTTCCGAGCCCAAGAAACTCCTGGGGAACTCCCGCGAAGCCGCCATCTCGAAGATCGCCATCAGCCTCACCTCATCCTCGGACGCCTTCTCGCAGTCCTTCTAATGGACCGGGCTCTAGAAGAGCTTCCCATGCTGAGACGCCGCCACTACTTCGAAAGGCTTCCATGAACTCTTTACATTCTGCGAATGGTTTCGCGCCTGGAAGACCTTTGGCCAGGCGATCGAGTTCATCGCAGATAATCTCAACATCTCCAGCAAACAGGACGCCCCCTGAAGAGAAGCCCCCTGTGACAGCAGGAAGCATCGCTAGCGATTACTTTGCGGCTGAACTTGCGGAATACCATGGAGATACTGCTACGCTATCTACGGACACTGTTGTTATCCTTAACGATGCTGTATATGGGCATCGCTTCTCCCGCCCTCGAACTTCCCGAAGTGCATTAAGCACAATTGTGGAACGACCCGAACGTATCAAGGCTGCTGTTCTAGGTATATCAACAGCATACGTACGGTTGGGCGGTCGACACTGTCAGGGTCACTTGCCTATTCATCCCAAGAGGAACCTTTCCGACATCATCAGCATTCCCTTTCGCATTCACAAGACCACTAGACAACTGTCACTGCTGTCTCCCGCAGTGACCAATGTACATGGCACCAAGTGGATGGAGGAATTGAAACTCATGTGCGGCTCGGCTGAATCAATATTGGCTATGGGAGGGAAGGAGCTGCAACGACCTGACATTTCTAGAGGACCAGAACATGCTGCGCCACAGAAGCTCCACGAGGGCGATTTGTATCTGTGCGAAGAGTCCCTCAACGCCATGCAAGGTGCTTTGGGCGCAGTGTGCGAGGCAGTGGACACTGTCTTTGGTCCTGGTCCTCGCAAAGCGTTTGTCGGCGTAAGACCCCCTGGCCACCATTGTTCTGCTTCTCATCCTTCTGGCTTCTGTTGGGTGAACAATGTTCATGTGGGCATCATGCATGCTGCACTTGAACATGGTCTCACTCATGCAGCCATAATCGACTTTGATCTCCATCACGGCGACGGCTCTCAGGCCATTACTTGGCAGCACAATGCCCGCGCTAATGCTGCGAACAAGAGCCACGCCTCTTGGAAAAGAACGTCAATAGGGTACTTCAGCTTGCATGACATTAACTCTTATCCTTGCGAGATGGGTGATGAAGACAAGGTCAAGAACGCGAGTTTATGTATCGATAGTGCGCATGGCCAGTGTATCTGGAATGTCCACCTACAATCCTGGAAAACGGAACAAGAGTTCTGGACCCTGTACGAAAGTACATATGCTGTTTTGTTGGAAAAGACACGAAAGTACTTGAAAAATGAGGCAGCCAAGCTGCGTGCCTCAAACCAAGTCCCCAAAGCGGCAGTCTTCTTCTCTGCGGGTTTCGATGCCAGTGAGTGGGAGAGCGCGGGAATGCAACGCCACCATGTGAATGTGCCGACGGAGTTTTATGCCAGGCTTTCGCAAGATGTTGTGAAACTGGCGACAGAGGAGGGACTGGCTGTAGATGGCCGTGTGATTAGCGTCCTCGAAGGTGGATATAGCAATCGCGCCTTGTGTTCAGGGATACTGAGCCATCTGAGTGGCCTAGTTGGTGTTAGTCACGATCAAAGTCCAATCGAGACGGAGCAGGAATCTACCGGGCTCGCGTACGAGATGGGCCAAAGGATTGGAGCTATCAATTTGAACGCGGATCCGACAATGAAACCTCCGGCGTCAATGTACGATGCAGCATGGTGGGCAACGAATGAACTAGACCTCCTCGAAGAACCCGAAGAGCCTCTAGCAGTACTGAGAAAACCACGCAACTCTACTCCTCCGACCTACTCATCGCCAACCCAGGCCTCTACTGCTAGAGTTGCTGACCCCATCAAGATGAAGAACAGTCTCTCTAGCTTGTCTACCAGCTATTCGAAAGTACCTCAGAGGCCGACATCACCCCCACCTCCTGAAGTGCCTTGGCATATAGCTGCTAAGGAACTGTGCAAGACTCTGATACCATCAGATCGTCAAACAGACAGTTGTACGGCGGAGGATCTAAATGCTGAAGCATCACGGGCCCGGAGAGATCGCCAGTCTCTTTTGATTGGGAACCAGCCGCCCACACCATCCGGATCTGATAGATCATCATCGAGGATGTCGTTACGCGAACGTAAATCGAGACCAATCGGTCCTATTGACGAGGAAATGAGCGAAATGCTACCGAAGACAAGAAGAAAGCCCGCAAGCACACCGATATCATCCCCGGCGAAGGTTAGTTGCCCGCAATCAGCTTCTTGCATTTTCGACATCCATACTGACATCGAGCACAGGCTGGGAGAAGAACGCCTCAGCCAGCTGGAGCGCAGTCCGCCAGAAGATCTAGCCGCCGCCTGAGCGTGGCGTCTACGAATCTGTCCCCTCCCAGGGAAGAGCCACCTCCGGTCCCTCCTATCCCAGCCACAGCGCCTGGCCCTAACCGAACAACCAGTCGGCCCAACTCTAGGGTGGGTAGGACACAGAGCAGTAACAAGGTTCCCGTGAAGAAGAGCCAGGCAGTGCCACCCCGAATAGACCCTGCACCGAAAGGAGGGCGAGATGTGACAAGGGCGAGCACTCCCGCTAGAGGAGCGAAACAGTCTACAGTTGGGGCTGACACGCCGACCCCGGCTACGGGACTACCGCTCAATGCCGTCGGTAACGATGCCAAGAGCGATGTTGACAGTTTGACCAACGGTGTCAAGAAGATAAGAATCAACTTGATCACAAAGACACAAAAGGATGGGAAGCAGGCCAAGTCAGAACAAAGCGCGGAACCCGGCCGCCAACTTGGGCAGGATTCAAGTATTGTGAAGTCGGAGAAACCACCTACCCCTGAAGGCATGTCCTCTATACCAAATGCTCCGGAGCAGCTTCCAACTCAACTTGCGCCAGCTTCTGGTGTTCCTGAAGCACCACCAACGCCGTCACTAAGTGGAGGAATTTCAACTCCGGTTGAGGAAATCTACACATCTAATGCATCGTCGCCCACGCCGACTCCGTCCATTCCCACGGGAAGCTCTCCCGATGTACCGCATGTTACTATTCAACCAGCCAGCGACGCCAGCGATGTCTTTATCCCCTATCAGCCGGAAGGACCTGAACCTGTCATCATGGGGCAGCACGAGCATCTGAGGTGGCTTCCGCCTAACGTTCAGACGCCTTCTTCTGTAGCGCCGGTTAACACACCTCTGCCTAGCGCGACGCAAACGAAAAGTACCCTATTCCACTACACCTCAGGGATTCCATTCGCCCCAAGGCCGGATACAGAGTCACAAGGACGACCAGGATCTCTGGGCACAGCACGTACAGGACATGAACAGTGACAGTAGTCCAAAGGGCAACGGCTCACTCAGCGTAGGAATTTTTGCCAAATGAGGCGACATTCAATGACGGCTCAGCAATGAGATTTATTGATGAAAGATGACTTTTTTTTTTTTGGTCTTTGAGAAAACGAAAACTACGTGGGATGTGGGTGCTGGGATAATGGTAGCACACGCTTGTCATTTTCATGCTCGGAGTTTTGTCTAGTCAGGCGTGCTTTTGATTGCTCTGCTCTAGATATTTGGGTTTGACGTTTGACTTGTGTGATACCCCTTTTGATTGCGCTTTTGGGAGCAGTACATGGAAAGTGGCGTTTGGGTTGTGGATTATGCAAATGACTCTATGAAGACTTTTGGTTCCATCCTTCTCCAGTCTATCATTTTGTACATGTATATGCGTGTTCACGACTTGAAGTGTTCCCTGAACACCTCTATGGGAACAGCCTTGTCAGAGAGCGTTGCCTTTGTTGAGCCGGCAACACCGGGATGTGGTTGGCGCTCAAAAGTCCAGAGATTCCTGACACCCAGACGTTCTAGAAATGACAGACCACGGCTGTAGTTTGTGCTTACCTGAGCAATGCCGTGGCTGTCGTCAGACATTGTGAAGTCGCCTCCCATCTTGACCCATTCCTGCAAACAAATGGTCAGTCTTTCACGGCCGGGTTCTCACCCACTCGCTCCAAGACTGGAAAGCAACTCACCTCGGAAATGATGCTGCAAGGGTACGGCTCCTCCAACCCCTTTCTCAACGCAGCCGTGTTCAGCTCCAACCACCCGCCCTGGTCCTTGACAATCTTCAGATTCCGCAACACCCTGTCCCACACGCCCTTCCACTGCCGAATATCCCGCCCCGGATCCACGCTCTTCAAACGGATCAAGTCAAAGTGCCCTACGATCCGGGGCCTCAGCGCAAGGAGCATCTCGTGCTGCAAGTCGTAGTAATCCTGGTACAGGCGCTCCTCCGACCCGCCCGCGGCCCGGATAGCCTCCGCGTAGGTGGCCGAGTCGTAGTCTATCGGGACGCCGTGCACGTGGTGGACCGAGCCGACGAAGTAGTCCACGCAGGCCGGCAGGGCGAGCTCCCTGACAAGAGGCGCGAGCGAGGGGCGGATGAACTCGGCCTCGAAGCCGATGAGGATGTGGATTTGCTGGGCGTATTTTGCCTGCAGGCGTTGCGCCTCGACGAGGTAGGCCTCGTGCCGCCGAGGAAGAGCCCGAAGCGATTCTCGGGGACAGTCTCTCTTTAGGGGGACTTGATTAGCCTTTTTTCCCTTCTTCTCCCTTTTATTTGGGTGTTTTCTCACGCGGCAGTGTGCAATCGAGCTGGCACTTATCGAGATGCCGAGGACGGGGGGATGCCCGCGAATAAACTCACCTCCTCGGGATACAAGTCCCGCTCCTCATACCGCGGCATGTGCTCCGACAAACCCATCGTTTTGAATCCCAACGAGACGGCGTGCCGGACGATGTCCTCCAACTGGTCGACTGCGTGGCCGGGGCAGAACTGCCCCGAGTGGGAATGCATGGTGAAGGCCATTGTTGCCGCGTTTGCCGGCTGCGGCCGCGGCTGTTGACGTCGACTTTGGGTTTACAGCCCACGCGGGACTTTTTTGATTCAGTAAACACAGAGGTCGGATGGGAATGCGGCCCGTGGGCTGCCAACTGAGGATAGCTGCGCACGCGCAATTTTTTACATACTCTTTGGGGGCTGTCGGGATGCAGTGACATCTCGCACGTGGCGTCGGTGCTGTCCATACGAAGAGTTTCTTTTCTGGCGTTCGGGATCCACACGGATGCCGCGGGTGGGCTTTGGATGCGACGTAGTCGTGGTTTTGGGAGAGAATTGGACGAGTCTTCTTTTCTTTTCCTTCCTTCTTGCTTGTTTCATTGGCATACCTCATTCTTGTGGTGAAATCACATGCTTGTGATTTTTTCTGCCGCATTTGTTCCAAGCTTGGAGTTTTATTGGTGCGTGCTGTTGGCAGGAGACGCACAGTTTGGATCCAGAAGAGGAAAGAGCGTACGAGCATGCCGCGGCAAGTTGGGCGGTAATTTGGGGCTAGCCGCCGTGCAAGTAAAGTACGGCGGGGACTGCGAATTGGTGATGATATGGAGCAAAGGAAATGGATATTGCCAATTAGTGTAGATTTGTTTCGTGCCATTGATTTGATTCTTGCTCTACCCTCCCACGGTAAAAGCAAGCGCCGACAGGAAAACTGTGAGCACTCAATATGTAGTAATGCTTTGGTATGTCCGTGAATATTTCGAATGAGGTCATGATAAAAACTACATGACGCATTAAATTTGCGCACCGCCGTACGGATTAGTTGAGTACACCGCTGCGTAGAGTGTATCCGTAACCCAGAAGATGGGAATTCGAGGCATGCATAACAAGACGGATGGATCATCAGTCTCTTATTGGCTCACTTATTTTCTTCAGCTGGGCCCCAGTTGCTACGAGCAAGCCCCCCTTGTTCGGGAATGTGAGATTGGCAAGAATCTACAAATTGGCTTCGGGTCATGGTAAAAGATACAAGCTGTCAAAGTCACTTCAACGTGAGGTACATTTGAACAGATCGCGAGCAACACCTAAGCAGCCGACGCCCCCAGCATTGCGCAAGTACTACTCCATCTAAATATGGAGGTTGGTGCACCCGTAGATCTGCGGCCATCAATCCACGGGCGGTGCAACACTACCGGACTCGTTCACAACCTGCCCCCTCGGTTCAGATGTCCGTACGGAGTAGACTGGTCGAAAATGACATTTGCGGGATGCCGCAACAAGCTGTCTTATTTCGAATTGTGAGATGGCAAGAAACCCCTCCCCTGTATGTGCCCAGACAGACAGACAGAAAGACAGACAGACAGACAAGCAGACAGACAGACAGACGGACAGACAGACAGACAGACGGACAGACAGACAGACAGGCAGACGAGACCGTCGTCGAGATAATGATAATGTAGACACGAAACACGCCAGAATAATCGCCAAATATATGCTTTGGCAGCAAGGCAAGCACATGAGCACTTCCTAATGTGGATGGACACGGCCTAGACTAGTGATGGATGGATTGCATTGGGTGTCAGAGTTGCATTTACCCCTGCCATGAGCACGCAATGCGCGAGAACGCAGGCTTTACCGGCATACCGGTGAATATGCCGACGCGGGGACGAAGAACGGGCGTGGCACTTGATGCCGCGCAGTATCAACCATGTAAGTCGGTCCCCGGCCAACGGGGCGTCATATCGGGCCAACAAAGAGGGTTTTTCTTCATGACAATTCACGCCGTGACAGAAACACACATGCAGGGTCTTGTAGTTGAGTTCTCCAAAGTAGCCAGGAAGAACTCGCTCCGGGAGGGTTCGCTTCGCTTCGCAGCCGCTACCTGTCATATGTGTGATTCACTCCAGCTCGCCGAATTCCCAAACGAGCATGCGGCGCGGGCCCAACTTGGAAGTCGCCTCTCCGTTCGGGGGCCTTGGTCTTGGTCTCAGGCCGAGTGCTTGTTTCCGATGGACAGCCGGATGCCTGGACCGCGCCGTGGGCGCTGCAAACCGTCACCTCGCAGGACCCAAACCCCTGTTTTCCGCCGGCCGCGAGAACGCCATGTCTTTCGTGAAAGAGCAAGGTCCTCGGGCGTTGGGCCGTCCCGGCGCAAGGCTGCGCGATACGAGTCGACAGCCGAACGAACCAAGCCTGTGGGTTGCACAGGATAGCCCCGGGAAAAGAGAGTCGGGTTGAGGTGAACCATTTATTCGGCGCATGTCGAGTCAGCGGGCTGAACCATTTGATGCAAGTCTTTCTCGAAGAGTTCATCGGCTCGTCGTTTCGCCCTCTTCGCCTAGAGGGAACCGATGACGACGTCATGCTGCGTACCATTTTTGCAGGCCAGTGAGGCATGAATACCTGTCAATGTTCTGCAGTGTCATGGCAAGGCAGGAAGTTTTGACCAATTTTTTACCTGCTTCTCGACATCTCTTCCTTCCTACCCCGGCCGTCCGCCTCCTGTCCGATTGACATCTCAAGTTGCAAAATTTTGGGCACGTTCTGTTTCTAGTGAGGCTTGCCAATGTATTCGAATCAACTCGCTCTCGGGATACGAGGCCTGTGGCAGGCTGGATGATTCGACAGGAAGAGAGGGGGGTTTCGTTGTCATGGCTAGAGGCTTTGTCTTTGAGACCTTGTCGTTCCGCATGGCTTGTCCTTTCTAGCCATTGCGGCAAACGGCTTCCCCTCGTTCCTCGTGCAGAATCGATAGGCAGATGACGTCCAGGCTTCTGCGTGCTCTCAGACTCTCATCACACACATGGCATTGCTCCTAAGGACCGCATGCCGAGGCCTGACTCAGTGGGATGTTGCGCTCTGAGACCATCACTCCGCTTCGAGGCTTCCGGGACCGCGAGCCTGGCCCGTGGCCCCATGGGGGATGATGCGGAAGCAACTCCGTAGAAGAAGAAAACAAAGAAAACCGGACCGAGGGATGATTGGCAGACGCCTGGTGTATGTGCCAGCGGTTGTGCGACATGTGATACAGACAAGCCCACGGGGGGTTGGCCCATCAGGAAGGCGTGCTTGACTGATGTCGTACAAATGAAAACAATAGCGTTGGAGCTCCGGCTCGTCATGTGATGGACAGTCTTGGTTCTGACGCGTGGTTATGACGCAAATAGGGCGTTTCTAAAGTCGGGCTGTTACTACCTGAAGACGAGGCCCCCAATACATTGTTTGCCCGTCTAAACAGTGTTTAAACACTAATCTCACTATCCATACTGCAGCCCGCATTACACGGTCTTATTGTGTCTAATTCTTTTCGCTTCTAAATGTAGGTTGGGCTGAAAGAGGTGGCGAGAGAATGCAAACGACCCTAGAACCACTCCCAGACATGCTTCTTATACCACGGCTTCTCCTCCTCCTCCTTGTATCCTTCCTCCAAGACATCGTGCTGGCCCACAATAGTCAGGAAAACCTCATTAAGAGTCGTGGGGGTAACGCTGTAATGAGC